TAATGTATAATATATAATTAAAATTAATCAATAGTTAATTTTCCATTTATATTATTTAATATTAGTAATATTTAAATTCAGTTAATACTTATTTATAATTAAATATTAATAAGGGTTATAATTATAAAAAGTGACGATAGGTTACCAAAACGCTATTCTAGTTAGTGTTTCGATGAATTAGTTTATGTGTATCGAAATGTGTACCAAGAAAATAAGTTAATTTATATTTGCCAAACACTATCTTATTAGAACGCTTTTACGTAGGACGCCTAGTTATTTGGTGCTGTAAACTTCTATAAAAAAAGCAGTCTATAAACAGATTTTATTATAGTGTTTTAATTTATAAAACCCATATATATAAGATGTATCTCTCGTATAGATCATATTGATCCAAACCAACGAACTTGATTCCTAAACACCTGTAACATATAAGTCATTTGCATGGAATCTCTTGAATCGGGATTAAACATCACCATCACCAACATTTTACGTTCTAAATTACGACCAATTGATTGGGAACCAAAAAATGAGTGAAGTAGCTAGGAATGGAATTTACAAAATGATTATAAACCGAAGAGAAACATCAATTGTTATTGATTTATTTCTAAACCTTTGTTGCTAGACAGATGATGCGATCGTATTAACAACTTACGCCTTTCAGCCATTTCAAATTCTCATTTACATTCCTCAACGATCGATCGATCGATCGATCGATCAATTAATTGCGTTACAAACCCTACGAATTTCTCCTTGAGTCCCGGTCTTCAACTCAATGTTACCCATCTTGACCATCGATCTCCCGAACTCCACGTTGAACCTCAATCCAAGAAGACCCCTAAGTCCAAGAAACCGCTGCACAAACCTTTGTGTTGTTGGGTCGTTCCATAACACTGCATCGGATTCAAGTACTCCCCGTCCGGCCCTCAAGTTTGCATAGTACGAATTGTCAAAGTTGTTTACGCTGCCAGTATCTAGGGCGACACGCCTTGAACCATCACCACCATTGGGGCACAGGTTTCGGAGCTGGGGAAGGAATGCTTGGTTTATACTGGGGTCTGGTCCATTGGTGTTGTTGAAGTTGTATAGCCTGTAGCTGAATAACGCACATGCAGCTGTCCCAATCGTGTGTGCTCCTGGTTATATATCAGTTAGTTGTGTTCCATTTCTTGTACTATATATAGACAAAGATTTATATTCGTACGATGTTTTGTGTTCTTAATTAATCAACTTACCAGAAAGCGCAACAAGATCTTGGGTATTAAGACCTTTGTCGGTAAACTTTCTGATTTGAACATTAATGGGGTCATTGAAAGCAGGCAAATTTGCAGTATCAGCTGCCCGTGAAACTAATCCATCTCTACGACCTGTTGGCACCGCCCAACCCGTTCCTCCTGCCTGCAACAATGTTAAAAAATCCAATAACTTGAGGTTATAAACCAGCAAGGTCACACAACTTTATATGCAATGATTCATTATCGTATGCAAATCTGACCCGAGATAAAAAGATTTACCTGGACCACAGAATCACGAGCAGCAAGGGCAAGAATGTCAGCACACGAGACCACCCCAGGACATATGGCTTCGAGTTGTGTCTTTGCAGCATCGATGACTTCAAAGCCTCTCAGGAGGGAATTCGGCCCAGCGGTTTTCTCGGTCGAAGGACCATCAATTAGGATAGAAGCATCACAGCCATTCACAAAGCAATCATGAAAGGACATTCTTAGTAAGCCGGGTGCGATTGTCGGATTGGAGCGGATAGCAGACTGGACGGCGGCCTGCACAATGGTTTCGGCCCTTGGGCATGTGGTCCGGTAGAACCCAACACGTGTGCCTTGGCCTAATGACAAGGTAATGAAGGTGGCTAACAAGACAACAAAGAAGATGGGTGTTTTGCTATGGAAATGGGAAAAAACCTCCATGGCTAGAAAGATTCGCGTGTTGTATTAAAGAGTGAAGTATTGGATTAGGTTGTAGTTGATTTGAGGGAGAGAAGGTATTTTATAGTGATTACAGGAGGAGGAGGAGGAGTGGAAGTCAAACATGTTGGCGTTGATAAAAGTAAACTAAGTCGGCCCACTAAGTACCTCGTGATGTGGAGGAACCGGAGGGAAAGGAAAGATTCAAACTTAGTACGTAAAATTTTATAGAGTAAAATTATATTCTATAGCGTTGGGTTGAGATGAGAAGAGAATTTATGGTGAGAATCGTAAGAATAGATTTTTAGTTTTCGATAAATCATAATTAAATGTCAACACTAATGAACTATAACAGATGAATTTCTATAAATGGTTGTGGAACATGTGTTTGCTAATTAAAATACTCCGAGTCTCCGATAGAATAAAACTTCAAAAAAATATGTTTATATAGATGTTAAACTAAATATTATTAAATTTTCATTTTTTTGTGATAATTTGTTTAATTTAATTTTTTATCATAATTTTAATATTTTAGATTTTAAAATACGAAAGTTTTAATGATAAAAAGTGTATTTATTATATATTTTAACATCTTTATTACTTGAAAGAATTGTTGCTTAGAAAACTTCTTATAAATGCTTTACTACCTATCGCTTCAAATAATGATATAGTAATAATTAATTATAGTTAGTTACATTGCCATTGACTTGCTTTAGAAATTATGTATCATTTAGGTTTCTTTTCCTATTTTAGGTTAAATGTTTTATCAATATACCATAAAAGTGGTGATTGATTGGTTTGAGGTTGGGTCTCAAATATCAAAAATATCTAATCAAGGTCTCAAGTTCAAGGGGGTGTTTTGGGATTGTTTATTTGAAACAATTTCAGTTTTTTTATAAAAATTCTTATCAACAAGTTAGATGGGTTTAACCTTTTCAAAAACTCCTTATTATCGGTTTGACACTGGTATAAGTTGTTTATCGAAACACTCAGAAGTGCTTATTACCGGTGTCACATCGAAATAAGTCAACAAGTTGTTTTTATAAGCAATCTCAAACACCCCCCAAATTCAAGGAGGAATAAATATCTCTTTATGACCACAGAAGTTCAAATACAGTGACTCTAGGTTACCAACAAAGCAAGTGGTCGTCCTAAGATTAGTCGGCTCCCATAGAATGTTGGATATCGATGTTAATAAAAAAATTGCTTTATCAATGATATAATAATTATTATTTCATACTTTTACATTTATATATATATTTTGTTACTTTGTTTTTTGAATTTTAAATATTTTCATCTTTTTTGTCTTAGATTAGACAAGAGGTTCTTCTCATGGATTTATTTTATTCATTATCAAAGATTAAAGGGATTTGAGTGGTACGGATTACAAAGTAAAAGATTCGGATTCATAATATAATTCACTTTAGTAATTATCTAATAGTTTTAATTTTTATTTTAAATATAACTTTGTTTCTTTATTATTTTTAATTTTTAATTAATGAATTAATATCTATAATATATTTGACAAAAACTTTTAAAAACAATTTGTTATATATAAAATACTATTTATTGATGCATATTACTTAAAATTCAAGATTACAAATAATTATGCATAATTACAGCTTATTAAATCTCCATACTTGAATTCATATAACTAACTGCAGATAAACATAATCAAATACATAATAAACATTTCATTTAAAATATAAAAACTCTAAAATATATAATCAGGATAATTATTATGTTCTAACAGAATTCTTAATTATTAGCTTTATAAAAAATTATATTATTACATCAAAAATAAATTACTTTGTTATTAAACCTAAATTAAATTATAAAAAATTTAAATTAAAAAATAAAAAAATAAAAAACAAGAATTTTTAAATAGTTAATTTGATATTAATATCGATGTATTTTTTTTCAAAAATTTATGATACATCTTTAAATTAATATTTTATTCAAAAATAAAAATATTATCATTTTTATAGAACCACATAAAACCATTATTATAACATCGATAAGAATAAAAAAACGAAATATTGAAAATAAAATATATCTCGCTTTATTACGTAATCATCTTTTTACTATTATATCAGAATTCATATGGCTTTACGAATACAACATAGAGTAGACCCATAGATTTGTCTACGTTGTCCACATCAGACTAGAAAGAAAACGATAATGGTTTCTTTAGCTCACTTTTCAAACATTAGACTTTAATCGGACAAGTGTAGATAATAAACCATTATATATTATACTTTATTTCATATAAAAACAATCGAAAATGTTTCTTGCGTTTTACAGATGTATATATGTATTTTTTTTCTATGCATATGTAAGTATAAATTACTTATATATATATATATATATATATATATATAGGAGATGAATGGTTATTAAAGTGTTTTTTAATTTTATATTTTTTATGGTTTTCTTGAACATGAGAATGTGTGTTTATATATATACGAGGCTTAATCATTTGACAACTTCAAAGTTTATGAGATTTTTGAGAACTTCTACCGTAAGGTTATGTTACATGATTTTTTTCCATCTAAGTATAATATTTAATGTATCGATTAACATATACTTGTTTCACAATGTCTTTGTTTTATATTTATCTGTTTCACAATATGAAATTATGTATTGATCTTCTTTATCAATAAAGGATTTTAAAAAGTGAAAGTTGTTGCGTTTGTATTCATCTCCCTTTCTACAAACTGTGACCTTTAAACTCTTGTAGATCCGGCTCAAACCATCAAGTGGTATTAGAGCAGTGTTTGTTTCGGTGTCTATTACTGTTTTATTGGTGTTTTATTATCTCTTCTTTCTACATATTTTATTTACCATTCTAATGGCATCGCAAAACACAAACTTTTACGATAATGGCTCTCTTGCCAAACCACTCTAGTTAATCAGAGACAACTTCAGTCTATGGAATAATCAAATGTCTCTTTTCTTAGAAGGTGTGGATCCTAAGATTCCATACTATATTGAAAATAAACCCTATGTTCCATTTGCAATTTCTCCAGCAGTTCCTTCCATTGCTACGACTGCCACCATTCCTGAAAAGAAGATTCTGAAACTACCTCATCAATGGAGTGATGAAAACAAGAAGAAAATGGCTTTAGATACTAGAGCTAGATCTATAATAGTCATGTCTCTTCCTGGCGAGGTTTTTCACTTTGTTATGAAGTTTAAAAACCTCAAAAACCATGCGGGACACTCTTTGTGTTCAATATAAAGGTACTTCTGAAGTACAAGAATCGAGGAAGATAAATTTAATAAGACAATATGAAAGTTTTCTCTAGTGGAAAATTTGAATCGTTGTCTGAAGTACATCAACATTTTAATTGTCTTCTTATTAATTTAAGGACAGTTGGAAGAGAATATTCCAACTTTAAGACCCTAACAAAGTTCTTAGAATGTTTGCCAAAATCTGGGGATAATTATACCATGTGTCTCAAGATGTCTAAGGATATTTCCTCCCTTTCCCTTAGCTCTCTTTATGGGATATTGGTTAATCATGAGCAATCCCGTTAGCTGAAAAAGAATCTTCTTAAAGATTCAAGAGAAATGAAAAACTCTCCTTTAACTTTGATCTCTGAAAAACCCTTCAGCTGGTCATTATATTTCTTCTACTTTTACTATCATTGAGTTAGATATTTCTAATTCTGAGGACTTAACGGATGCTGATTTATCAGAGTTTGACGAGTCACTGACCCTACTTACAAACTCTTTCAGAAGGTTTCTCAGAAAAAGTAATTTCCGTAGATCTCCTGCTTTGACTATCGTTGACAAGCCAAAGTCAAATCCTATTGACAAAGCCTCAGCTAACTGCTTTAATTGTCAAAGCAAAGGAAACTTTGCAAGTAAATGTAGGTCAAAGAAAGCTGCAAAGCCATGTTCAAACATCTCATCCTCCTTCAGACCTAAAAAAAACAAATATCTGAAACTGAAGAAGAAGTACAAGAAGATGAAGAATCTCCAGCGTAAAGGCAAAGGTCTTATCGTTGAAGAACATGATTGGGCTGATTCATCTAAAGAGTTATACTCAGATGAGAAAAACACGGCCTATCTCTGTTTTATGGCCACAGATGTCAAGGATGAACCATCTAAGATATCATCCTCCAGTAATCCCTCTCTATCAACCTCTACTCAAGTATGTAATCTAAAAGACCCTTCTACTTCTAGTTGTGATAGCCTATCTTCACTAGATTCGCTGACTGTGGATCTTTACAATGCTCTAAATGGCAAATCTAAAGAGGAAAAGCTTAATCTTGATTTATAAGAACATTTAGAGAAATGTTATTCTAAGACCAAAAAGTGGACTAAGATTGAAGAAAATCTTAACGATCAGGTCACTATAAACCAAGCTATCAGCATCGAACTCGAGCAGGCTATCTCTGAGCGTGAGCAAGAAATTGCTGAACTCAAGGTTGAAAAGGCTACCATTGAAAGATGGTATAAAGCCTCTCTCAAGGCCACTGAGATCATTAACACTTAGATGCCCACCAAGATCAAGAGTGGTATAGGATATTCCTATGATTAGGAAGATCATGTCAATGACAAGTCCATGCTTAAGTTTGGAACCTTTGTCTCTTATATCCCTAACACTTCTTCCTTTGAGAACTCCTCTACTGAATCTCTTCTTGAAGGAACTTCTCTTAGTTCAAAATGTAAAGACAAAGGTATAACCACTGTCAACATTCCTCTTCTCTCTAATAAGGACCACAAGTTAAATATAACCAGTTTTATTCCTTCAGCTTGTAAACCTTCTTCCTCGAGTAAAAAGGTCTCTGAACGCTCTCAGAGATCAAGCCCAAAGCTGAAAGTGAATCTTTCATCCAATATATCTAAATCTTTAGTTGTTCTCCCTCGAACAACTGAAAAAGGTATTCTTGGAATTGGTCCCTCTCTTCTAAGGCTCCCAAGCCTCGACTCTTCTAGACCTAAAGCTTCTTTCAGCTATAGAAAGTGTCGTCATTGTAGTGAGACTACTCATTTGTTTACAAAACCTT